TAAAAAAAAAAAAAAAAAAAATTTAAATATTGGGGAAAACCAGGATCCCTGGTGATCACATTTACTGGAGGTAACTTGGTGCTTTTCAGAACAAGACATCTGCCTGTGCTTTGTTCCCTCTCTACCTATGAAAAATCTATTATAAGTACAGATCAAATGAAAATACTTTAGAGACCTTGATACATGAATCCAATGTAATCATAGCTAGAAAATTAGTTATTTCATTACTAAGTATATCAATTTGGAAAACTATCTAGAATTCATAATAAAGTAAGTGAAATATTGTATTGCCTCTTGTGGGATAGTTTTGTTTAAAGAACAAGATAATAGAACGCCCCTCCATCTATTTGCCTTTGCCCACAAAATGGGTGGAATACAAGACACTGAAGAAGCAGCTTAGTTTTGCAGCTGTACTGAAGCTGCTGTTGAAGTGGCCACAAAACTCCCATGCAGCTGCTTTTGTAGAGTCTTTATTCCAGCAGCACAAAAACAGGTCCAGCAGCAATGAATACTCAGTGAATGTAGAGGAAAAGGGAAAGAACTACACTGGGACACACTGACTGCACCCCTTCTTGTTTGATAATGTATTGTCCCATCCTCATATGCCTGGAGACCACCCATATTTGAACCAAAATATGTTTGGTTTTACATGAATTCATTTCATATTTGGTACTAATCCTAGTATAAATTTAAAAGTATAATTTTAAGCTTTATGTATTTTACAGTTTTCAGAACAGTTTATCTAACATGACAGCCTTAGTAGGTTTGGTGCTAGAATGGGAATTGTACCTTCCCAGTCTGAAAGTAAAGTGAGACTCCACCCAAAAGCAACACGCAAAAAAATAAATCCTTTGACCAATTATTTAAGGCTTGACAAAGGTATTTTTAAAAAGGCACTGGGCAGAGAGGGTGGTGAGATGTTGTCAATGCAAGTTTAGTGGCCAGTTCTTAAGCCAGGTCACCTTACTCAAACTTGAGTTAAACACAGTAGCCTGTCCATCCTCTACCCTTTTATTTTTGACATACCAATGCCAGCTGTTCCTCCATATTTTTTCCTGGGGGGAGGGGGAAGAAAAAAGGTGGGAAGCTACCCTCAGCAATGAAAGCAAATTTATTTAGCTCTACTGCTGTCCACAGCTGAGCCACTATATAGAGATTCTGTTTTTAAACATGTAGGAAGTCTGAAAATAGGAGGTCAAGCTGCCATCTACTCTTCCTGCCTCTTCATAAATTACCTGTAGCACTGCAAGAGGCCTCACATCATACCCAAACATCCCAGGTGCAACACTTTTCTACTTTATTTTGAAGCAATCCCTTCCCAAGATTAAAGATTACAACAATCTAAAGTAAAACAAAAAAGAATCCTTTAGTTAGAAGAGTGCCAGAGATGTCCAAGATTTACAGATTATACTTAGAAACAATAAACCAAAAATACAATAAAATAAGGGGTGGGGGAAAGCAGAGGGCAGCAAAAAGTCATGTTCATCAATGCCTGAAGAAGTTCTCCATTCAAGAAAGCCTTTACCTAGTTACTTTCTCTGGGCAGCACCTTTAATTCAAAAACATCTGTTCTCATTCTTCCCTAAAACAGAACAGAGATCAGAATAAATGGGCCCAGCTAAACTTATCTGGTAACTTCCTTTGTTGCAAGTGCCATTTTCACAAAATAGAATGCTACTAGCCCAGGAAGGACATCTTTTCTGCACAAAGAGGCATAGAAACCAACTTTGTGTTTTGCTGGTGGGTGCTTGCAGACAGAATATCCTCCAAACTGCCCCCCCCCCGAAACAAACATTGGTGCTTTAATTTAAACTTGGTGTGTTCTCATGCTGAGCCCTGTGCGTGCCCAGAAGAGGCCACACGTTACTTCAACCTGGCTGACACCGGCACCTGTAAAGTTTGGGTACTTTAGTGGGCCTTTTTTGGCACTTATCTAATAGCTGATTGAATCAGCTTTAGCTAAAAGCTCCAAAAGCCCATCTGAAGTGCCCAATCTCCACTGATGCCGCACATGCTGCTTCTTCTGGTAAAGTGAGGATTTTTGTTTGGTTGGTTTTCTCCCCCCAACATCTGCAAGCAGCCTGCAGCTGTGGCTCATGGGTGTTAAGTGCCCACTATTTTTTTGGGGTGGGTGCTTGAGCCCAGGAACACCCATAGAGTTGGTGCCTATGCAAAGAGGCCTTTACATCCTTTTATGGACATTATAGAAAGTGTACTCAGATTATGTCATTCTATGATTACAAAGAATTACCCAGTTCCAGGTGACCTTTCTCTGCCCCCAAACAATTAATTACATAGTTCAAGTTCTACGCCATCTCCCTTGCTTTCAACTCTGCACATTCCACCCCCACTATTTTCTCCATTTTGTTCTCCCCAGTAAACCCCCCAAAAGCTGAACTGTAGAAACAATAACATTTTTTGCCACCATATTGTCCATACCCCTTGATTGTTCTATACCTTTCCCCATCATACTATGGGCATATTATCCATTTAGACTGTAGACAATTTCACCCAGGGAATGCCTTGAGCTATATATTAGTATGGTGTTTAACACGATACAGACAGTGCCCCCTTTAACTGGCCCTTAGGCACTGCTAGAACAAACAGCAATAGTAAAGAATGTCAAAGCATTCTAACATATAAAACACATGTAAAAGGTGATACATATGGCAGGAGTTAAACACATTTGTATTGTAATATCTTAACTCTGTTGTTAAGCAATTAGAAGCCTTAGGCCATGCAATACCATTGAGGTATCTGGTATCTGCCCTCCACTCAACCAAATAAAAAGAGTTTGTCCACCAGGTTGTATTGAATCAAACCATGATACAGCTTCCAGGAAGCCACTAAAAAAAAAAAGAAAAAGAAAAAGAGAAATAATATTACAATACATACTGAACTACTGAGAGAAGTTGAGTTGGCAGGGTGCATTTTCCCTCTACCTGTATTCCACCCCCCACCATAAGCCTCATTGACATAACTGTTTAGAGATCCCATATTTATAATTCCAAAAATGTATAGGAAACCTTCCATTTTTCAGTACATCTTAGTTTCTCCTAGTCAAAAACATTTTCCTCAAGAACTGGAAATATTTATACAGACTGTTCAGTAACAGAACTTCACTTGACACATTTTCCACGCTGCTCCATTTCTCTATAAAGGAAAAGGAATCATATTTAAACAATTGAACTACTTTGCAACCACACTTTTTTTTTTTTTTTTTTTTTTTTAAA